ATGTCCTACCTATACCCTTAGTGGAGCCATTTGTACCTCCTCCTCCTGACACCCAAAATTTCATACAAAATACACCGGAATTCTCATCACTGCCTCTTATTACCTATCAACACAGGAGCCAAATGATCAGTCCCATGTCCCAAGATGAGTCTTCCTCTGCAGATCCTTCTCAATCATCCCCTGATACCACGATTCCTGATAATGATGACTCAAGTTGGCCCATTGTCTTTCGCAAAGGTACTCGCTCTACTCGTAATCCACATCCCATTTACAATTTTCTTAGCTACCATAGATTGTCTCCTTCCTATTTTTCTTTTGTTTCTTCTATATCCACTATTACTATTCTAAAAAATGTGAAAGAGGCACTTGATCATCCTGGATGGCGACAAGCCATGATTGATGAAATGCAGGCTCTTGAGCACAATGGTACATGAAACTTAATTCCTTTTCCACATGGGAAGAAGATTGTTGGTTGTCGTTGGGTCTATGCCATTAAAGTTGGACCAAAAGGTGAAGTTGATCGACTCAAAGCTAGATTAGTAGCAAAAGGCTATACTCAGATCTATGGCCTTGACTACAGTGATACTTTTTCTCCTGTGGTCAAAATGACTACTGTTCGACTTTTCTTTGCTATGACAGCTATCCGTCCATGGCCTCTTCATCAGTTAGATATCAAGAATGCATTCTTACATGGTGATCTTGAGGAGGAAATTTATATGGAGCAACCTCCTGGTTTTATTGCTCAGGGGGAGTCTAGTTTGGTTTGTAAGTTATATCGTTCTCTCTATGGTCTCAAACAATCTCCACGTGCTTGGTTTGGAAAGTTTAGTCACATTGTTCAAAGTTTTGGATTAAAACGAAGTGAAGCAGATCATTCTGTTTTTTATTATATTGCTTCAGGAAAATGTGTTTATTTAATTGTATATGTAGATGATATAGTCATTACAGGAGATGATGTTGATAAAATTTCTTTGCTAAAGAAACATTTATGCAATCACTTCCAAACTAAGGATCTTGGTTGTCTCAAATACTTTCTAGGGATTGAAGTGGCTCAATCAAAAGAAGGCATCGTAGTCTCCCAAAGAAAGTATGCTTTAGATATCCTGAAAGAAACAGGTATGATTGATTGTAGACCAGTAAACAGCCCTTTGGATCCAAATCAGAAATTAATGGCGGATCAAGGTGAACCGCTCTCGATCCCGAGAGATATAGAAGACTTGTTGGGAAACTCATTTATCTCACCATTACCGCACCTAACCTATCTTTTGCCGTTGGAGTCGTGAGTCAATTTATGCAAAATCCACGTACTGATCATTGGAATGTTGTCGTTCACATCCTAAAATATCTCAAAAAAGCTCCAGGACAAGGTCTGTTGTATGAAGATAAAGGGGGTACTCAAATATCTGGGTATTGTGATGCTGATTGGGCTGGATCCCCTATGGACAAACGCTCCACTACAGGATATTGTGTTCTCATTGGAGGCAATATTATTTCTTGGAAAAGTAAGAAACAAAATGTAGTGGCCCGGTCTAGTGCTGAAGCTGAATATAGAGCAATGACATCTCTCACTTGTGAACTAGTGTGGGTGAAACAATTTCTTCAAGAACTGAAATTTTGTGAGATTCAACAGATGAAGATGTATTGTGACAATCAAGCAGCTCTCCACATTGCCTCTAATCCGGTGTTCCATGAAAGGACCAAACATATAGAACTTGATTGTCATTTTATTCGTGAAAAATTGTTGTCTAAAGAAATTTGCACTGAATTTGTCGGGTCCAATGATCAACTTGCAGATGTGTTGACAAAGTCTTTAAGAAGACCTCGAATTGAATTTATTTGTTCCAAGCTTGGTACATACAATTTGTATGCTCTAGCTTGAGGGGGAGTGTTAGAATTATTATTAGTTAGTGGTTAGTGGTTAGTAGTTGGTGGTTGGTGGTTGTTAGTAGTTGGTAGTTGTTGTTTTAAATGTTGTAATCCTATATATATATATGAGATCATAGAGTGGAGTAAGCATCCCACAAAATTAGAAATCTTCTTTTCATTCTCTTTACTCTCTTAACTACCTTTATTAATGAATTTTCTAGATGTACTTGAGTTTATTTGATGAAAGACAGATATGAACTTTTGTCCATTTTTGTGTCCTTTTTCAATGAAATTAAAAATCAATTTGGGAAGATGATTAAAGTTCTCAAAAATGATAATGCCAAAGAATATTTCTCTGCCTCATTTTCCTTTTTATCTTCCCAAGGAATTTTACATCAATCAACTTGTCCTTACACTTCACAGCAAAATGACATTGCAAAAAGGAAAAATAGACACTAATATCCCTGTTCATCATTGGGGAGATGCAGTTCTCACTGCTTGTTTTTTTATTAATCGGATGTCATCTTCCTCTCTTAAAAATCAAATTCCACATTCTTTTATCTTCCCAAATGATTCTCTTTTCCATGTATCTCCTCGTGTATTTGGTTGTACTTGTTTTGTTCACAAATATCTCCAGGTCTTGATAAATTAAGTGCTAAGGCCATTAAATGTGTTTTCTTGAGGCACTCTCGCCTTCAGAAAGGTTATAAATGTTATTTTCCATCTTCCAAAAGGTATTATATGTCTGTTGATGTCACCTTCTTTGAGGAAACACCCTTCTTTTCTTCCCCAATGGAAGATGGTTCATCAATTCAACAAGTTCTGCCTATACCTATTTCTTTCCCAATTCATTCTACAGGTCATAGTGATTCACCTCCTACACCTTTACCAGTTCCTATAGATAATTGTGATTCAGATCCATCTCCATCAGTTTCTCATACCATGGATCCTTCAACCTTACCTCCCATTTCCGATTCTGGCTGGCTTATTGCACTTAGAAAAGGTACTCGTTCCACTCGCATTCCCTTTGCTATTTATAATTTTTTAAGTTACCATCGTCTATCTTCTTCATATTCTTCTTTTGTTGTCTATTTGGTTGATACGTCTATTCCTAATAATATTCATGCGGCACTTGATCACCCTGGATGACGACAAGCCATGGTTGATGAAATGCAGGCACTTGAGCACAATGACACTCGGGACTTTGTTCCTCTTCCTCTTGACAAAAAGGATGGGGGCAGTTAAAGTTGATAATAATGATAAAGTAGATCGTCTTAAAGCTCATTTAGTAGCTAAAGGCTACACTCAAATTTATGACCTCGACTATTGTGACATCTTCTCTCCAGTAGTTAAGATTTCTACTATTCGTCTTTTCCTTGCTATGGTTGTGATTCATCATTGACCCCTTCACCAACTGAACATTAAAAATGTCTTTCCTCATGGTGACCTTGAGGAAGAGATTTATATGGAGCAACCTCCTGACTTTGTTGCTTAGGGGGAGTCTGGTTTAGTGTGCAAGTTACACCAATCTCTTTATGGCTTGAAGCAGTCACCCCGAGCTTGGTTTGGAAACTTCAATCATGTTGTACTGTTGTTTGGCATGAAAAGGAGCGAACCAAACCACTTAGTGTTTTATTGTCATTCCTCTTTAGGCAAGTGTGTGTATTTTATGGTTTATGTTGATGATATTGTTATTACAGGTAATGATTATACTAAGATCAGCCAACTGAAGAATTATCTGTTTGCTCACTTCCAAACCAAAGATCTTGGTCAATTGAAATATTTTCTTGGTATTGAAGTGGCCCAGTCAAAGGAAGGTATGATCATCTTTCAAAGGAAGTATGCTCTTGATATTCTGAAGAAGACTGGTCTAACAAATTGTAAGCCCATTGATATCCCAATGGACCCTAACCAGAAATTGATGAAGGATGAAGGAGAAAAGTTGTCAGATCTAGAAAGATATAGGAGGTTGGTTGGTAAACTCATTTATCTTACTATTACTAGACCGGATATTTCTTATGCAGTTGGAGTAGTTAGCCAATTCATGCAAAATCCTGGTGTTGATCACTGGGATGCCTTGATTCACATTCTGAGATATATTAAAGGGGCCCCAGGACAAGGGTTGTTATACGAAGATAAAGATAATACTCAAATTCTTGGTTATTGTGATGCAGACTGGGTTGGTTATCCAATTGATAGAAAATTGACTACTTGGTATTGTATCTTTATTGGAAGAAATTTGATTTCTTCGAAGAGTTAAAAGCAAAGTGTTGTTGCTCGATCTAGTGCAGAAGCTGAGTATAGATCTATGACACTTGCTACATGTGAACTTGTGTGGATCAAACAACTCCTTCAAGATTTAAAATTTTGTGATATTAGGCAAATGGAGTTATTGCGTGATAATTAGGCAGCTTTCCATATTGCCTCCAACCCAGTCTTCACGAAAAAACAAAACATATTGAGATTGATTGTCATTTTGTTAAAAAGAAGTTGTTGTCGAAGAAACTTGTAACCGAATTTGTAAACTCCAATGAGTAACTGACAGATATTTTAACTAAAATATTTAAGAAAACCTAAGATTCAATTCATTTGTTCCAAGTTTGGTACATACAATTTGTATGCTCCAGCTCGAGGGAAAGTGTTGAGATTTATTGTTTATGTATCTTTTAGTATTCTTTTTCAATGTTTCTTAGATTAGAGTTAAAGATTTGGGCTGAGGTCCTTATCCTCTCTATTGTACCCATTTTTTTATAAATACAATGTATCAGTGCTTTTGGTCATTAAATCAAACCCTAAATAAGTTTTCTCAAAGTAGACAATTGCAATATCTTAACTTCTTGAAACTTCGTTTGCATCCTCCTTTTCAAATGTACTTCTCATGATGTTCAGCGACCCCTCTTTCCACACACAAATAATTTTATGATAAATATGTAGTGTCGTTATTGAAGACTCATATTCTAATGCACTGTTACTTTCTGGAACTAGATACTTCATTTCTAATTGTTTATTACCTCAAATGAGATATATTCATATCTTTATTTAAATCATCTTTTTGTTGGCTCTCTGGATAGCAATTTTCTGCTCACTGCCACCGTTTGCAAGTAGTAGATTGTTTCATTGTACTGCTGTTAGCCATGAGAGAACTCTATCTTTGGATCGAACAAGGTTTGGAAGGTATATTCCAGGAGGAATAAATTGTACAAATAGCTAGAGGGTCAACTAAAGGTGTTACTAAAGCAGTTAGAAGGTTTGGTAGTTAAATAGGAGAAGTTGTAATCGAAAGGGGCCTCTGTAGAAAAATAACTGAAACTAACACATTCTCAGTTTAAAGGGCCATTTTGTTCTTGCAAGAGGAATTCTCCTCTTGTATCTCATTCTTTCGTTAACAGTTTCACTCTTCCTTTCACATGTTTTCCTATCTCTTCTATTATCTTATTTTTGTTCCTTGCATGGGAATTGTATCAGTAACCCAAAGTTGAGTTTGACTTTACTATTTACACTCACATTTTGCAGGGAAAATCCAATTCTGCACCTGTCACACAATTGTCATCGGGTTCCTCCCTTGTTTTTAGTGCGAGTCATAGCTTGTATGCTGCTCACAACCCTGGGACATCATCCACGTTCGCAGATTCAAGTGAACCTAATCAAAATTTCTCTAGTCCTGGGTCTTTAGAAGTTACATCTGAAGCACAAGCCTTGCGCCAATTGGAAAAAGAACTGAATTTAAATGAGGACAGCTTCAATGAAATTGCACTTAATTTAATTCCATGTCAAGATGAAAGGGTGATTTATAAGCAAGATAAATCTGCCACTTTGTCTGGACCAAATGATCAAGGACAACATTTTCATAGATATAATGGAAGACAAGGTAATTGGACAAACTTGAGCTGTTAAGAATTAATGTTTTTTTATTGGAGGGAGTGGAAAAAATTAATATATGTATGTAGTGAAGCATTTGAGTTATTATCCCTATTTTATGCCTTTACCTTTTACTGTGTTTTGATTTGTTCAGTCATAGATGTTTCTCTTCTACTTATCTAACATATGCCAGTGGCTTCTTCCACTCTCACTACTAATTTGCTGTGACTGTTGAGTTAAATTTATAACACACCTCCTTATTGTTAAGTTCCCCAAGGATTTCATATACATATGTATCAGTATGACCATATCTTCTATTCTTCTAATTTGGAAATCGTACCCTTCTAAATGGTCAATTTTCTTTTGCAGAAACCTAATTCCCCAATTGTTATATGCTGGTTGTTTCATGTGAATCTTAATAGAGTATAGGACGATTATTATGAATTAGGTAGCCAGAAAAAGTTTGAAACAACAGCCTCAAAATTAAATTTCTTGTATCTAGAGTCACTCCAAGATGAATTCAAGGGATCTTTACATTATGTTAACCACGCAGAACAGTTTTCAAATATTTAATGCACAGAACTCTATATGCTACATAATATGTAAATCTTGTTTATCCTCTTTTGTGCTTGAGAAATTAAATTAAAGAAGTGTTCTGATTTTAAGATGTTAATTATTGAAACGTGCTAAATTTGTACAAGCCTTTATGAATCTTTATTTTTCATCAAGTTGCTCTACAACATGTGTAGTCATATATATGTATATATATATAAAGTTATCTAAAAGATAAACTGCATATAAATGATCTTATCTGAAACATAAACTAAATATCTGATTGCAATCAACTCTCCTTTTCAAGCTCAAGCATATATGACTTGTAACATGTAAGTTATCCTACGACCTTGTAAGGATTTAGTCAATATCTCTACAAGTTTTTCATTTGAACACACAAAGGTAGTCTTGATGATGTGGAGAGGTTCTTCTATCAACCTCTTTATGATTAGTCCTTTTGTGACAGATGGAATTGGAGGAAAAGGTGAAAAGTAGATTGGTTATCACGAGCAAGTTTTCACAAGCAAATGCTTTAGCCATAAAAATTTGCAAGTCTTATCAGCCATAGCATGATATCCTGCTTCAGTAAATGACCTTGCAACCAGTCTTTTTCTTACTTTTCCTTAAGATCAAGTTACCTCCAGTCAAAAGATAAACTACATATTCAATCTTGTCTTATCTAGAAGATACTCTACATATCTGATTACAATCAACAATTTTTTTTGTTAATTAGTTATTCTTCCACTCACTCTTTTTTTTTCAAACTGTACATTCAGCTTTAAATCAGATTTAATTTAGTTCACAAGTTCTTTATAGTTTGTTTTCGCCACTCCATATTATAATTAAACAGAAACTGTGAAGAGAGGAAAGCAAAATTTTCTGAAATTAGCATATTTTCTGCAGATGACAGTGACACATATTATCATGACTTACTTGATGATTGTCCTGATGGAAATGAAAAAACTATATACTGGAACGAGGTGCTTGAAGCGTCTAAGTCCTTACCTGTGACCAATTTACCTGATCAATATGCATATGAGACAATTGAAAATGTGAGCTTTCCTAATACATGCTTCATGCTGTTAAAGAGTTTATAATTGATGTTTGCTGAAGTTTCCAAATAACATCCTGCATCTCTTGATACAATTGTATCCTTTAAAACTGTCATTTAAAATGCTATTTATTTGCGTCATTTTTGTTTTGCTACTTAAAAAGAAATAAAATCTCTATGCTTAAAACAGGAAAAGTCATTATTTTCTTCAGGAAGGGCAATGCTTGCCAACGTGGAAAACAATCAGTGGCTGAATTCCAACAGTAATAATGTTGAGAACTGTATGACTTATTTCTACTTTAAATTACTTGGCAATTTCCCATATTTGCATATAATGAAATTTCTTCCATCTCTCTGATATCCCATATCACCAGCTGCTCTCCCATTTCCTAAAGACGGTGGAGTCACGTTTCCTCCATGTTCTGTGGTAGAAACTTCAGAAACTAACTCTGACTACTATCAAATATTTTTTGACCAAACCGAAATTTTAGAACCTCTGGGTGTAGATTCAAGCTTGGCTATTGTACAGAAACAGAAATTTTCAATTAGGGCAGTCTCCCCAGAATACTGTTATGCCGCTGAGACTACAAAGGTTTGTCTTTTAATTTCAACTTTTATTATGTCCTGTGCAATGATATATGACTTAGTGAATGTTATCTACTGAATGATAGACTGTTATGCTTTTTTGGTGCTTACTACTCAGCTTTACTTACGTTTCTGAAGACTTCTAAGTTAATACAGTACATGGTTCAAATATGTCTGCATTTTTGGTATCATGTAATTATATATCTAATAATTAGAGAGTTTTCATACAAACTCTTAGCTCTTGATTTCAATACTTAACCATTATTTACGACATATATTTAGTCTCTACTGTCTTTCGTAGTGAATTTTTATTTCTTTGTTTATATGGTGCAGATACTATTGATGTTGTATGTATTTGAATCCTAAACGCCCAAGTTATATGTGTAGGTTATCATTATTGGGTCATTTCTCTGTCATCACTCGGATTCTACCTGGGCCTGTATGTTTGGTGATGTTGAAGTTCCTGCTCAGATTATTCAGGATGGCGTAATCTGTTGTGAAACTCCATCCATTCTACTTGGAAAGGTTAATTTGTGCATTACTTCAGGAAATAGGGTGCCTTGCAGCGAAGTGAGAGAGTTTGAGTTTCGAAATAAGACTACTAGTTGCCCTCGCTGTAATTCATTGGAAACAGAAGATCTGTTATTACTTGTGCGATTTGCAGAGATGGTCCTCTCTGCTTCAAATAAAAAGGATGACAACATAGAATCTGGAAGTCAACTTTCGACAGAACAGAAAGATGGTGATGATTCATGGAGCCATATGATAGACACTCTTCTGGATGGCACTGGAAAATCATCTGAAACTGTAAACTGGCTTCTAGAAGAGCTGCTGAAGGATAAGCTGCAGCTCTGGCTCTCTAACCCATCCCATGAAAGAGATGAAGGGACAGGCTGTTCTTTGTCCAAGAAAGAGCAGGGGATTATACACATGGTTTCTGGGTTGGGTTTTGAGTGGGCCTTGAACCCCATTCTCAGTTGCGGTGTGAATATAAATTTTCGTGACATCAATGGATGGACGGCTCTTCATTGGGCTGCACGGTTTGGGAGGTAATAGAAAACTGATCTGTTGATATTGATATGCAATATTAATAGCATCTTTTTTTCAAAAGCCTTGAATAAAATATACTTGATAAAATCGGTTTAGAAACCTGAACTTCTTTCTTGGGGGAAGGGAATACAAATACATTGAAAGAAAACAAGGATAAGTAAAACCTGTTGGCAATACCTAGCCTGTAAGTCATATGCTAGAAATTGATGACTGCATTTAAGGGGTAATAATCTCATGTAACAGGATTTTTCAATAATTATTGAACATGTATATTAAGCCTGATCAATTAAAGGAAAATGCTTAACTTTTTAATTTCAACAAAAAAGCCTTTTCCCACTATCTATCTGTATCAGCTACATTAATCAAATTATGAGTTGTGCTGGACCAATAATCGATTTTTCAGAAATGTCCTTTAAATCACTATTTTAAATGGTCTCTTTTGGAGCTTTATTTTCTCTTTCCCTGACTCTATTGATCAGACTGCTCTCCATGTAATTAATTCATTTTACCTGGGCGTCCGTTGGTCTTCTGACTCAATCAAAACGTCACAGGTCAAACTCTGTTACAAATTATCATATCAAGATTAAAACCCTTTTTAGAAGCCTTTATAAATTATCTCTTAAATTCTAAGTGTTCTGGATCTTGTGTCACTGAAATATTTCATTCCATGATAGGGAAAAAATGGTTGCTTCACTTATAGCTTCTGGTGCAACTGCTGGAGCGGTCACAGATCCAAGTTCACAAGATCCAACCGGTAAAACTGCTGCATCTATTGCAGCCTCCCATGGCCATAAGGGACTAGCAGGTTATCTTTCGGAGGTACACCTGACAAGCCATTTGTCATCCCTCACATTGACAGAGAGTGACATTTCTAAAAGATCTTCTGAGCTTGAAGCCGAGTTCACTGTTTGTAGTGTCTCTAAAGAAAATCTTATGGCCAATGAGGATCAGGTTTCACTAAAAGCTTCCTTGGATGCTGTCAGAAATGCAGCTCAGGCAGCTGCACGGATACAAGCTGCTTTTCGTGCGCATTCTTTTAGAAAAAGGAAAGAAAGAGAAGCTGCCGCCAGATTTCTAGATGGATATTGTAGTGAAGCTGATGGCAACGTTTCAGTGCTTTCTGCCATATCAAACCTTAGTTCTCGGAGCTTGGGTGATTACCATGTAGCTGCCTTGTCGATTCAGAAGAAATATCGAGGGTGGAAAGGTCGGAAAGAATTCTTAGCATTGCGCCAGAAAGTAGTTAAGATACAGGTAACTGTAATAGTTGTTATTACAGATTTACTATACTAATTCTAAGAATTCGGCATGTTCGAATATATTGGCACTGTGGAGTGTAGATACATTGTAAAGTGGATAAATTTGTTCATAAATTATAGAGGATGAAGAGATGAAAGCAATAGCTTGACATGCACATGCTTACATACATCAAGAACCTACTACTGATGCACATCCACGTCAAGAACTTCCTATTAACCATGGCTTTTCTATATTTATTTGGGCAGGCCATTGTGAGGGGTTACCAGGTTCGGAAGCAATACAAGTTACTATTATGGGCAGTTGGAATCTTGAACAAGGTTGTGCTCCGATGGAGGAGAAAACGAGTTGGCATAAGTAGTGTCCGGCAAGAAATTGAATCAAATGAAGAAGAAAGTGATGATGAAGATTTTCTCAACGTGTTCCGAAAAGAGAAAGTAAACGCAGCAATTGAGAAGGCTTTGAAGCGGGTGCTTTCCATGGTCAAGTCTAAGGGTGCTCGTCAGCAATACAGGCGCTTGCTTTCATTGTATCGTCAAGCCAAGGTAATAAGCTTAGAGCTAAAAAAAATACAGTTTTGGGATACCACCAGTTGATATATATATAGGGATATTGATACTACATGTTTTATTATCACTTTAGTTAAATTAAGTGTTAAGAGATTTTTATATTAAAACTAAGATATTATTAATATTTTATTATATATATATATATATATATATATATAAATAAAGTTCATGAATAAAATATAAAAGAGAAAAATTCCACCCTGTATAATGTATCAAAAATACATAAAAATCCTAAACATCCCCGTAAGTTATACCACTTTTTGCATTCAGATTGATCAAATAATAACTAACTGTTTTGAGTAAAGCTTTATTTATCCATTTCTTTACTGTGATAATCAGAAATATGATAAATAGAACGCTTGCAAGTAGCAACATATATTCTCTTTTCACACACTATTTAATGTAGCAACGTTTGTAGGAATAGTTCTACTATCTCTCATAGATCTTGAAAGCAAAAAAATGTCTTATTTTAATGTTCCAAAAATCATAATGTTCTCCTCGAAAGATAGGTAGAAGAATAGACGAATAAGGATTGACATTAATCATTGGATGGAATTGGTATCAATTATAGTAAGACTTTTTTAAGGTAGTTGGATTGTATCTACATTTAATATATGATCCAACGTAACTCTGATACCACTCTTAGTATTTTAGGAAGAATAGAAAAGATAGTTTGTTGTTTAGTAGTGAGGTTTGTGTAGAAGTTTTACAAAGAGGTGGGCAAATATGAGAAAGTTTGTAGGAGAGAAATAGTAATTCATCTTGGAAGTACTACATCTGCAAATGAGTGGGTCATCACCTATATACAGGCATGAATCATTCTTCTCTAAAATTTTTTAGAAACTTAGAGATGATTCTTCTTCTATTACACTTTAATTTATCTTTCTAAATTTTTTAGTAATTCTAGAGATTACTTATATAAGGTTTATAATTCTAATAGTGTAAAATTTAAGAAAGTTTATAAAACTTAATTTTCTTGATTTTTCTAGAATTTACTGTCATTTTTTCAATAGTTGTTAATAAGAGTTACTTAAGAATAAAAATAAATATTTTATTATGAGTTCTACATCTTAATTATTTAAAAGTGAAAAAAGTTGTTTAAAATTAAAAAGAATTAATTATACAAATAACTTTGATTAAGAACTCCTTAGCAATGTTTTTATAAGAGGAGAGGTTCCCTGCTTTTTGCCATACATGACTTGTTGATTATTTTGCAGCCTGAATGTGACAGCACAAGTGATAAAGCACCGTTATCAACTTCGGCAGACGATGACTGGAATCAGATTTTGGAGAACATCTGGCCTTCCTAGTTGTATTTCTCTTTGATAATAAATTTCTGGCTTCGCCGCTTACATGGTGGGTGTACTTGGATGTGTAGAGTATAAAGCTTGATTGAGGTTAAGTTTGTAAATCGGTCTAGGTTGTGCAGTGATGTGGTGATGAACACTTTCTCTTTTCATGTACATAATGGCTTTCAATGTTTTGGTAGTACAGGGTTTCAAATTCAGTGGACGAAGTCTCTATTTCTTATTTCTTGTATTAAAAGAACTAGGCAAAAACCATAAATAGATAAAAAAAATGTTATGTTTCTGATTTGAAATGATTTAGTAGAATTTTCCATTTCTTGGTGGAATTTGGATATTATATTAATTTCACGAGTCGCATTTCGGATTTTATATATTATAAATAAAAGATAGATACGGCGATAATAAAGTTTTGATTAAGAACATTTTTATTATTAATATAAACACCGTTAAATACCAAGACTGGATCAATTTTAATCCAAGTATAGTAATCTCCAGAAGAGTAATTATTTAACTTGAATTAATAATAATTTAATGATGATTTGGGAAATGCACGTAGGGTGAGGACCACACATCAAGAGTCAACACAAAAGAATGATCCCACTTATTGGTGGTGGTGAGGCTGAAGTGTAGAGAAGACACGTTTGGCATGAAAAAGTAAGTAGCACTAAAGACCCTTCCAAAGTTGGATCACTGATTCACTCCACCTACAGATGAGGACTCATCGAACCAAACCATAATAAGGCCACGTCTTTTTGTCTTTTTCATTCAATTCAATAATAATACACACACTTGGCAGTGACGGTGGGTGATAACTCCCAATTCAACACAGAGAACACGAGAAACATCCTTCGTTATTTTTTAAAGTCTAAACGAAAAAACAACAATCATTTGTCTCCTGTGACCATGGAACAAGATCGAAGGCTTGAGCTCATCGACAACGCAATTCAGAAGCTTATACTCGACAACAACAAAGTCCAAGGATCTCACCATACCAACGATGCTCAATACCAAAACGCTCTTTCCCACCTTCTCTCTGTCTCTCAGGTATCCGTCATCAGATTTGCAATCCGTGCCTATGCAAGAACTAGTTTCAATTTTATACTTGTTTTGGTGTTTATTAATTGTATAGTTTGTCAATCTTGCTTAAATTTTTATTTTAATATTAATGTTTATGTATTGAATGTTTAAAATTATTGAGATTGGAAACACACAAATGCTGAATTTATTGGCAGTTGAACCTTTTGAAAGGAGACGAGATACCTGAGCAATTTGAAACTACTAGTTCTTCTGAGCCGGTGGCTTCTGTAATTCAGGAGCCAGAAGGAGAAAAAGAGGATGGTGGCGGAAGGAGGGGAAATGAAAATGATGAGATCATGAAAGAGCTGAAGAAGGTGAAGAGGCAGAACTTTGTGACTCATTGTCTTCTTTCAGTGATGATTGTCCTCACTGTGACTTGGCAACTATCTGAGGTCTCTCTTATTTTGCAACTGAAAGATGGACTAAGCCACCCTTTTAAATCCTTTGGAAATATACTCAAAGGGATCTTGAAAGTCCCTAACATGAATGGCCAGGAAGCTGATGACAAAGAACAACCTCCTGAGTCTCTATTCCTTCCTTCCGTGATGATTCCAGATATGTCTCTTACTGGAAACTACTCAAACTAGTCATTTTCTTGTGGGAAATGAAATGGATTTGCACCTTCCCTTTTAATGTACATTCCCACTTCTTGTACCATTTGCAAGGATCGGCAGGTGTTATGTCTTATCATAGTCTGCATATTCATGCATTGCCATTGTATCCAAATGGCCATATTTCCTCCACTACATTTAGATAGGAGTAAGGCATTCATGTCAACTTCATTTGGTTTACAATCTTGATCAGATTCTTCACCCAGTAAGAAAAATAAAACAATTCCCTCAACGTCATTTATTTTACTTAGCTTCATTTACTATTCTTTGATTGGCCAAGTGTTAGTCAAACCTTCAATTTGGATGGACGTTTGTTTCCTGAATTGATTTTATATACACCCTGACCAAAGAGTTGGAAGGGACAGGGAAAGAGCATTTGGGGTCACAAATTTAGAAAATGTCCTATATAGTCAATACACAATGTCTTCCTTCTTACACATAAACACTTTTTGGAAAAATATATTTTAATACCTCTTTTTATCAACATTGACAATTTTTAAAATAATAATAAACATATAAATGATAATTTTAAAATAATAATAAATATATAAATAATAACTTTACAATAATAATAAATAAATATATAAATAATAACTTTAAAATAATAATAATATATATAAATGATAATTTTAAAATAATAATAATTTAGTTAATTAATGGAAAAAATAAAAAAATAAAAAAATTATAATATAAAAATCTAAAAATAAAATATAAAATATTTATTTTTATAAAATATTAAATATTTATTTTTTTAAATTATTAAATATTTATTTTTTAAAATTATTAAATATTTATTTTTTATAAATTATTAAATATTTATTTTTTATAAATTATTAAATATTTATTTTTATCTTTTGATATAGGATAGAGTCCTAGCTCTAGCATAAGTACTTTCTCACCCTGACTTAAGTACTTCCTCAGCCTGACTTAAGGGCTTTGGCTTTTCATAAGGGTCAACTTCTTGTTCGATAACGTGTGGTTTAGTTGTCATCTCGGACACAAGATCAAGGTTTCTCTCAAGAGGAGGAAATTCTTTTTTGTAGGCAGTCGGGTTGATCATCATGCATGAGATGGAAGGAGTAACAGGAAGTGGGTGGGCAAATGTTTTGCACCTTCCTGTTTCGGGAAGAGAAGTCCTTCCTCTTTAAGAATCTCAGCACATCGCCAGTGGCTTCTCTTGGCGATGAAGTCCTATCCAGGGACCTTTTCCTGGTTAGAATCTCTTACTAGGAGAGAAAGGAAGTTTACAGGATCCTCCTCTGTAGTCATCATCTTCATCTCTGAGTCATCTTTCTCCTTATCACTGGTGTCTCCAGTGTAGTCGCAAAAGTCATGTCGGAATCAGTGTCCCAGATGAAGTGTCCTCATATCTTATCAGTGAAGATACGTTTGCTATCAGGGTACACACTAGCAATTGGGATCTTGCCTTCTTTGGTGACCGACATTATCATCATGGACTAGAAGATCGTCGTACTGGGAATATCTTCAGGCTTTCTAAAGGTTGCCTCAGTGAACGAGATAAGTTTCTGGTTGACGTGGAGCTTCTCATAGTTAGTCATCCACTGCATCAGAATCAGCTTCTACAACTCTTGTTGAGAGATATTTCTGGGGATCTGAACTATGGAGGGTATATCATCTTAGTTGTTAGCCAAGACGAATAGTGCTCCGTTTTTATAGGATGGTAGCACAAGATTTATAGCATGATCTTGCAACCTATAAATAATCTGATGATGGAGGGTGGTTGATAGTGCATCAGCTACCTGCTCAGCCCTAGTAATCTGGATCTGAACCTTTAATCTCTAAGAGATGGTGGGATCTTTCAAGCTAACATTAAAGTTAGGAAAGATGGTCAGGACTACACTCCCAACATGGAGAGTAGTTAGAACAATGTCGATAACAATATGTTCATAGTGGAGGTAGCTAGAGTCTAAGAGTGAGACTCTCACAGAGACAGATAGTCCCCATCTTCTATGGAGGGAAAGGACTAACCGTATAACCCTGTAATGGAGATGAGTGTATCTTTCGTTTTGTCAGTACCTTATGAGATCCTTGGGAATCTCGATGTTGACGTACTGTTCTTTTGTGGTGGAGGCAAGGACACACTGGTTCATCCTAGAGGATTGGACATACTCCTTGACTTAAGGTCTTCTGGTAGAAAAGAGTTGGGAGATAGATCTAAGGGTGAATTTTTGTCTCCTAAAAATATTATAAGGGTTCAAAAGAGGATTGTACGTTTCGGAGATTTGGACATCTTTTGGGACATAGGAATATTCTATAAGGTTTTCTATCTTAGAGGAAAGAATTTTCGAGATGTTTTTCTAAAAAGAAAGAGTGGAGTTTAACAAAACGGGACCGGAATTAGTTAGTGGTGTTTGGTTATCCATTTATAAAGGTTTCTCTTACTCATATACCGCATATATTTCCTATTATCATACCCCCTTCTGAAACATGGTTAGACTCTGATACTATTTCGGATAGAGACCCTTTCTTATCTAGAAAATATGAACCTCCTCGGGCATACAGTGTCATCCCTCGACTAAAAATCCACTCAAGTTCATCTTTTCTATAAGAGAAGCGCTCTGCGATAAAATGATTTTAAGGATTGGAAGCTTTCTGATACATAGGATCCTCATAAGAGGCAAGTGTAGAGCATATTTGCATCTAAGTAGAGAATGATAATAAGAATTATATGCTTTGAGCTTTCAGAGAAGAGAAAACTTAGAAAGAGAACATTTTTAGAAAGAGAACTTGTATTGATCTTTGTTCTGTTTCGTTCTTCCTTACAACATTACAAGCCCTTCCTTTTTATAGGAAAACTACACAAGCGGAATTCAAACTTTCGCTAAACTAAAATGAACTTCGGACCATATCCCTTTAGATAAAGTAAAGTTGATTCGGTCTCATCTCCATTAACACATTTGCGAAATTCACAATGAACACGTGTAAAAATAGGCGAATCATACTTTAGTAGCATGTCATGATGATAACCATTAATTAAAGACTTTACTCTAGTCAGTTCTGGTGGAGCTAGAATGATTTATCTATTTGGTCTCACTCCTTTTCATACTCCCATGTAGGGGGTCTCAGTAGGAATACATTTTTGTTGTGCATCATCATTTCCTCTATCAATTCCTCGTTGTAATCATCAGCTAAGTCTTTAACCTTTTGGTTTTGGAATTCTTGTTCAGGTACGTAGATCTCAGTTGTTGATTTGAAGAACCTTATCTATTATGATCCTATTCAAAGGATAAGAACTAAGCGATCTTTGGGATGAGCTGGAAATATTGGGGTCCACCGCTTGTAATGGTAATTGTTGACTTCACAGAGGTGGTGTGTCAAAGGATAGGTCTCGAAGCTGCCCCAGATGTAGGCTTCATTTCTTGACCATAATTGACTTGGAGGATTTAGAAAGTATGGACGGTGGATGATGAAGATCGAGATTAAATCTTTGAAATAGTCTAGAATCCTCTTGAGCTCTTGTCTCCACCAAGATAATGGTGAGAACCACTCAAGTAAAGTCCAGAATGAAACTTATCCTTGTAAGGATATGTCAAGATTCTATAGGTTGTCTGTGTTTTCAATGTAATAGGAATGAAGTATTGAACAGTGTTACACACCATATGGTCCAGAGAATTGGTTCACAGAGATCCCAATCCGGGTTAAACACAGAGGTTGGGATGATCTTGTATTTCATGATTTCATGGAGAAAGTAGAAATAACAAGTTTTTACATAGTGAAGGATATCTGCTAGTGTGGTAGGGTTTAATCCGGGAGGATAAATTTTGACAGTTTTGGCTTTGTCAGAGAGAGATTTGAGCATGAAGATAAGAGGAAGACTATAGGTGTCAGATATCAATCGAACAATTTTCTTGGGTCTAGACAAAAAGTCAAAGACTATGTTTAAGTTTCCTTTGATGTGCTTAATAGTAAAATCATACTTGAAAAATCAGTCCATTATACAGAGAATTTGAGGATTAGGAGGCATTTTATTTTTAAACTCTAGGATCTTTGGGAACAAAGAGTTGTCCATCTGTACCTCGAATTGATGTCCTCTGAAATGTAAGTCAAATTTCTTTATTTCATTCTTGACGCTCAAGACTTCCTTGAATGTAGTGTGGTAATGTTTCTCGACATCCTTGAATTGTCAACTGACATGACCACATTAATACCTTCTCTCATTGTCTTCTTTGATGAGCACTGCTCCCTAATAGTCATCACTGACATCAATATGTAGTATCCTTTTTTCGTTGCCTGGGATCTTTAGAGCCGGAGGAGTCTGGGTTATCTTCTTCAGTTCCTTAATGGCTCTGGTTTACTCTAGTCCCCATGGAGGTAGATTCTTCTTTAAGAGCTTGGATAAGGGACTTGTGTATCTGGAAACGTTACGGATGAATTCCCTAATGTAGTTAACTATCCCAAGAAACTGTTAGATCTACTTGACGGTCAAATTTTCATCCAAAAAGTTAAGGAGGTGTTCAGCAGTGTGAGGTTGAGGTTGATATGAGCCTTGACAGAAATGCATACCCAAAAAGTCAAGTTCCTTTTGGGCCAAGTGGATCTTCTTCTCTGAAAGCATAATTCCATATTAATGGGCTATTCCGAAAAACTGATCCAATAACTGTTAGTGAGAGTCTATATATTGTGAGAACAGTAAAAGGTCATCAATATAAATGATTGCTCTGTCTAATATGGGCTCAAAGATTTTTTTCATGGTTTTTTGGAATAGTGATGGCATTATCTTAGCCTAAACAGAATTACTTTCCATTGATATTGGGCATTGGGTATACAAAAAGCAATCTTGTATCGATCAGATGGGTCAATGCCTAATTGCAAGAATCCGGATTTAAGGTCAAATTTAGAAAAGATATGGGCTTCTTTTATCAGAGTAGGTAAGGATGAGGTTTTGGGTATTGGAAATTTGTCACCCTTAAGAAAATGTTTAAGAGGCTTGTAATCAATGACCAACCTCTTCTTTC